GAAATCCGTGATAAATCTCCGATAGTAACCGGCCAATCCCAAAAAACTCCTAATCTCGGACGGAGATCTCGGCACCTCCCAACTCAAAACTGCCTCAATCTTGGACAGGTCGACCAATATCCCATTCTAATTAACGAGATGTCCTAGGAACTGGACCTCTCATAACCAGGAATCACACTTGGAGAATTTGGCATATAGCCTCTCCGACCTCAAAACTACCGGAACCTCTCTAAGATGCTCCTCATGCTGCTCCCTAGACATCAAGTACACAAGAATATCGTCGATGAACACGATCACCGATCGATCCAAAATGGGCCTGCACACCCGGTTCATGAGGTCCATGAACGTCGCTGGTGCGTTGGTGAGCCCGAAAGGCATCACCACAAATTCGTAGTACCCATAACGAGTCCTAAAGGCCGTCTTCATAATATCCTCCTCACAGACTCTCATCTGATGATATCCAGATCTCAAATCAATCTTGGAAAACCAAGATGCCCCCTGCAATTGATCGAACAAATCGTCGATCCTCGGAAGTGGATAACGGTTTTTGACCGTCAGCTTGTTCAACTCCTGGTAATCAATGCACATACGGTGTGAACCATCCTTTTTCTTGAAAAAAAGGATTGGAGCTCCCCACGGTGAGCTACTCGGTCTGATGAACCATTTCCCCAGCAGCTCCTGGAGCTGTGAGGATAACTCATGCATCTCTGGCGGCGCAAGGCGATAAGGTGCCTTGGCAATAGGTGCCGCACTCGGAATCAAATCAATCCGGAACTCCACCTGCCTCTCGGGAGGCACACCCGGCAACTCCTCGGGAAAAACATCCGGAAACTCACACACTATCAGAACCTCAGAGATAGAACTCGTTCTCTCTGTAGCAACCCGCGTATGCATCACGTACGCCAGAAAACCCATACAACCCTGTTGTAGACTCTGTCTCGCTCTGGCAGCAGAGCAAAAAGTTGATCCAGATCTAGTACCCTCGCCATACACTTTAAGCACTCCCCCACTAGGGTCTCATATGGTCACCATCTGACGCTCACAGTCCATCACAGCTCCAAACCGACTCAACCAGTCCATCCCCACCATGACACAGACATCACCCATCGCAATCGGTACCAGATCTATCGGGAACTCAACACCGAAAATATCTAGTACACACCCTCGGAATACGAAAGTAGCAAAAACCGCATGCTCGTCGGCTATAGAAACTCTCATAGGTCGACTCAACGCCTCTCGCTCGACACTAATGTGACGACTAAAAGCTAAGGACACAAAAAATCGACTCGTACCCGAATCAAACAGCACCAAAGCAGGTACAGAACTCACAAGAAAAGTACCTATACACAGAACAATATAAGTATAAACAATCTTAAATAACAAAAATAAGGAGATACGTACCAGCAACAAATCAGGCGCGACGCGGACCTCCTCTGCTGTCAGCTGAAATACTATCCCACGAGCCTTCGGAGGCTAGGCCTTCCTTGGCCTGCTATCAATAACACGCAAAGCAGCAGGAGTGGTAGTCTGGGCGGATCCCTGGGTAAGCTGAGGACACTCGGCCTTCCGATGGCCGGTCTAGTTGCAGTGAAAGCAAACAAAAAATCCCTTGGGGAAGTCCCTCGCCATGTGCCCCTCCTTCCCGTATTTGTAGCAAATCCCTGCCCGGCAAGATCCCTCGTGGGTCATGCCGCACTTGCTACAAGAGCGGCCCCTCTGACCTCCAGTACTCGAATCAGCGGGCTTAGCCCGCTTAGCCGCCGACTGCGACTGTGTCGGTCTCCTATCTCTCCCCTGCTGCTCTCCCTCCTCTCTGGTTTGAATCTCCAACTCAATCTCCCTCCTCCTGGCATTGGTCTACAACTCAGCCAATGTCCGATAAGACGAGTTCTCCACAAACTCTTGAATATCCCTCCTCAAAATGCTCAAGTACCGGCTCACACGTGCCTGCTCAGTGGACACGTGCTCAGGACAGAACATCGCCCTCTCATTAAACATCCTAGTAATCTCAGTCACCGACTCTGTCTTCTGCTTGAGAGACAGAAACTCTTGCGCCAAAGGTTCCCTCTACACCTGGGGAACATAATCATCTCGAAACAGCTTGGTGAACCTCTCCCAAGTCAATGCAGCATGATCTGCAAGGGTAAAATCAGTCGTCACAAACTTCCACCAGTCCTTCGCTCCCAAGCGAAGCTGGTTCAGGGCGAACCGGACTCTCAGATGCTTTGCGCATGAACAAGTATAAAAGTATCCCTCAATATCAGCGATCCATCTCATGGAAGCAATTGGATCCTGTGTCCCATCGAACTCTGGTGGCTTCGTGTTGCTGAACTCCCGAAACAAAAACGAGTCACCTCCATGTCGCCTAGCAGTAGCAACAGCTGCAGTGGCTGCAGCAGCAGCAGCCTCAGTAACAGCAGCATATCGGTCGTCAAACGTCTCAATCAGGGTGGTCTTAATAGACCCAAACATCTCAGGAATCTCCGCTCGAATAGCTGAGGCCATCTCCTCGTGAATCATCCTGCGGATCTTATCATCACTAGTCCCACTGCCTCCCGGGTTGTGGCGTGTACCCACCATGATGTCTCTGAAACACAACAAAAAAATCATCAGAGACTCGCTCGAGCATATTCACACTCGATCACTCATCCCTACTTGTTCCTTACCATCCTAAGGATTTTTACTTGGGTGGAATAAAGATCCGGTGCTTTCAGTAGTACGAGCCCAATACTACCTTCCACACCAACCTGTAGTCATCCCAAGTCCTCCTCCTAGAATTCTAATTCACAAGTACTCTATCTCTCACAAGTATCAGACTACCCTCTCAGTAAGCTACTCATATGCTCATCTAGGTATCTCTTCCTAGATTATCTCTCGACTTATAACTCAGCACATACTTAGAGCAAATAACAGATAACACTGATCAAAAGCATCTCCTAGGCTAAGGCATCATAAATCAGGCAACTCTAGCCCTAGAATATGAAATACCTAGCCTACTCTCTAGCATGCATCTCTATATCACATAAGTATCTCATAAATATCTGTGAAAGTAAATAGTTAAGGGTATTTTGGGAAACCACCGTTCGGGCTCTGGCTAATTGTACTCACTGCCCCTTCTCGTTTTCTCTTGAAATCTCTTACTCAGTTTAGAAAAATCATTTCTTTTGAAATTTTTTCTCAAATCCTCAGTTTGAGTCCAGACATACCCGAAGGTGCATCTGAATCCCTCAAACCAAGGCTCTGATACCAACTTGTAACACCGTAAAATTTCAAACCAAAGTTTTTTCATTTTAAAAGCACAATAAACTCATATATTGTATTTCATAAAACCACATGTATCTGAAAATGTCAACATCAAAACCACAAATAAAGTAAAATCCCAGAATCCTCAATATAGTCTCGAACAAGTGTGTACAATCATGCCGGCGCCTTCCCGCGGTCCTGAGAGGTACTTGAAACACATCACACCTAACACGGTAAGCACGAAGCTTAGTGAGTTCCCCAAAAGACCACATACACAAATAATAAGCCTCTCATGGCTATAACTCGGCATTGACCCTCCAGTCTCATGCGTCTCGGTGTGGACCCTCCAGTCATGTGTCTCAGTGAGGACCCTCCGGTCTCACAGCTCGGTTTGAACCCTCAGGTCCTGTCTCGGTGGAAACCTTCCGGTGCCACAAATCGGGTTGGACCCTCCGGTCCTATCTCAGTAAAACAAAGAATATAGCATATATATCACACAGACAAAATGCATAGTGTCACATAACTCAATAAGCACATAACACCCTTCGGTCACATATAGATACCACTCATGGTAAGTATAGTGAGAAGACTTACCACGTAAGAAATCGGATAACCTCGAACTCGAATCACCGGTCTAGCCTCCGCCTAACACATACGATAATTATCCGTAATTTATAGCAGCTCTCAAAAAGCTAGCCAACCCTTCTACAAGCTCTCAGAAGGGTAAAAGACCATTTTACCCCTCCTTGGCCTTAATAGTCCACAAATTGACCAAACCCTAAAAGTCAACGGCAGAGTGTACGCTGCGCGCACCGGCTCTCTACGATGGGAGTACTCTACTGCCATGCAGGCATCGGGGATGCTCGACCCCTACGCGGCGCGTACTCGGATTACGCTTAGTGTACGTCCCAGTTTCACTCTTCCTACTCATTTGGTCTTAATCAGTTAAAACCTTGGCTCATATCAGAGATCTGGACTCCCTAATTGCTCTTACTCCATAAAGTCAGTGGCTTTAAGCCTTTGCATGGCTGATAAGGTCACAAACACACAAAACTCTCACTCTCTTATCTCAAAATTCTCATATCTCATGCATGGCTTGATTCCAACGTCCAAGTCTTGATTTTTATGACACTACACCACTAAATACACTCAAAGGGGTTGATCATATTCTCTGGAGCTCATTTATCTCATAAAGTCTCCAACTTTTGGGACAAAACCCTAAAATACTCTACTATGATGCACAAATCAAAAGGGTGAGAAAGATTGGAGCTTTATACCTTTAGATGAAGCTCCCAACTCAGATATGCTCAGATCCAAGGCCTGGTCTCTCATTCCTTCTTCTCCCAAAGCTCCTTCTTCACTCCACGAACACACAAAATCACTTAAAGGATCTCACATGGACACACACAAGCTCAAGAACGAGAATTAGGGTTTTAGAGGGTTGTTTGTCTAAAGATGGTGGCCAGGAATGAGGCCTTCATATCCTTTATATAGGGACACACCCCAAATTAGGGTTTTCACACTGGGCCTAGTACGCCCAGCGTACCCTCTGGTACGCCCAACATACTAGGTGGCTTCCGCGTTTAAAACACGCATATGAGTACGCTGAGCGTAGACTCGCGTACACCCGCGTACTCATTTACCATCTTTTCTCAATAAGGGCTAAACTTGACAATTTACCAAAAGAACAAGGGCTTATAAGATATACCTGGTCTTGGGATGTTACAACTCCATCGGAATTCCGAAAGCATCTCGGAATGAGATCTCGATTTCATCTCAAGTTCCACGCCGACACCAGCGAGGCTCTGATCCTTTTAACGAACATTTCAAAACATTTCAAAACGATTGTCGATCATCTGGAAGAGGAACTACCACTCGCCGACCATCTGAAACTCGAGCTTCTATTTCCTGATTGTTTCATCATAATCTTAATTGATTTTATATATTGCTTTTAGAATCCTTCTGCAAACACTCTCCACCGGTAAGCTCTCTCTTTGTGCTAATCGATTTGATTTGATGTATAATTTGTCGAGTTATGTGCTCATAGTTGTTTTGGATGCGCTTTTTATATGGATTCAATCAGTACGAAGATTAAACTGCTTATTTAAATTAGCACCTTCATAAAATCTCACCGTTCTTATGTGATGGAGCTCGATATTGAATTTATAAAGACTTGTAAATATGCTGAAACCCTAATTTAAACGTGAAGTGATAACTCTTTTGATAAACACATAATGAAAACTCGATATTGAATTCATGAAAAAAAGAACGTATGTTTCCTTATTTTCCATAAGCCTGTTTCCCTCTTCATTCTTGCCTCCATCATAGAAACGACGACCTTCCCTCCTCAACCTTCCTCCAAATCACCATATTGTCGGCGCCTCGGCCTCCTTCTACTTCGCTAGTGCCCTACCTCCGCTGCTCTGGTAGGCTTATTTCCCTAATGTCCATCTGTTTTTTTTGGTATTCATAATGCTGAAATGGATTCTTTTCTGTTGGAATCGTTTTTATGCTGGTCAATCTTATGGTGCTCTGTTGGAATTTTCATCTTGAGATAAACATACTTGTTGAATTCTATTTGTTGCGTTTGATTTTTTGTGCTAAAATGTTTGTTAATGAAACTGTTGAAATAAACATACTTGTAGAAATATATTTGTTAAAATCTGATGCTGAAATCTGATATTGGGATATGATTTGAATCTTTTTTTAAATCTATTTGCTTAAAATCTTTGTTCTATTTTCTTGCAGAAGATCTTCTCAACATAAGTGTAATAAGTTGCAAATCTGTGATGTGGGCTTATTGATTTTGAGAAAAGCAGTCTCATGGGATCACCCTCGTACCCAAAAGTGGGCTGGACTCCAATGAATATGTTTCCGTATTGTTTCCCAAAAACCAAGAGATTCTCCCCATCAAAATTCAAGTTCCCTGGAGGCTTTCCCCAGTTCTCTTCCAAGGCAGTGGAATATGGAGTCAGCTGCTGATATTCTCTCACTCCAATTTTGTATGCAACATTCAGATTTGGACTGCTGAACTAAGCCTCTTTGCCATGAAGAATCTCTTCTATCAAGGCTGCAGAAGTCTCTGGAAGGCCTTCCACATTGTAACCATCTTTTTTCAAGTCTTGTAGCACCGAAAAAATTGATACAAACACATTTAGGTACGCAGCAGATCCCACATTCCCTTTATCCGGTGGGAAACTGAACACCGTAATTGCCACCCTCTTCTCAGTCTGCATGCAAGTTTTACATCAAAATATATTGAAAATTCATTAATATTTTATCTTCAGTTCTCTGTTTATTATTAAAAAAAAGCACCATATGGAATATGTGATGTGAAAGAGAAATGTATATATATGTACCTTTGTTTTCCTCTTCAATTCTTCCCATCTGACTGCTCTGGTGCAGAGCTGCTCCACCCTCTTGTGAAGGGCATGAGATTTACCGGTTCTTGGGTCTCGTCCTGAGAAAACAATCGGCTCCATTCCTCCATCAAGTTCTGGAAGAGCAACCTGCAAAGCCACCTGAATCAGGTGAAGCCCCAAAGTGTTGTTAAGCCATTCCTCTGTTGTCTGGAACACAAGAGGCAACGCCACAATGTATGGCACATCCAGCTTCATCAACACCTCGATTGCCCTTAGATGATCTTGTTTTTGGGGCCTTCCCACCAATGCAAACCCAGTCAGCGACACCACCGAGTTCACCAACGGCTTCTTTGTGATCAGTTCAATCAAATACTTCTCGATGGGACCCGAGAAGTCAAGTCCACCTGCGAAAAGAGGAATCACCTTTGCACCTTTCGCTTCCAGTTCCATTATGACAGCTACATAATGGTTGTCGTCTCCTGTCATGATATGACTCCTTTGCAAAACCAATCCAACCACTGGAGCATTCAGGTTCTTTAACTTCTACCATCAACTCGAGGGGCTACTTTATTGGTTATAATTGAATTAAAAACTTTCAACTTCATAGAGTAATTCAAGGGACATAAGTTTATAAAGAGTGTGACTTACTGGTGATAAATTGGTACCAATAAAATCATTACTTAATTTGCATTTATCAAGAGTGATTATGTGGCACTTTTATTAGGATGTGTAAACTTTATCCTTTCAATGCACGTTTTATTTTTGTTAGTAAGTCAAATTCTGCCTGATATAAGGATACATGTGAGTAGTTAAGAACTTTGTTTATTTGTAGTTATCACTATTATGATGTAAAAAAAAGTAAAGTAAGATACTTTGAATACATGGCTCAGTGATTTCTAGCTGATTGAGTTTTCTGTTTGTTCAATTATTTAGTATTTGAGATGAACCCTGTATGGCACATTTTGATAACGGTTTTTAATCAACAATTTAATATTATACTGGATTGGAAAATGGACCTGAAGTAGAAAGCTAAAGCATTTCATTGGATGTTATGTCATCAAACCCTTTTGGCAAGTCTGCAATATCTTTCTCTCATTATCATCTGGGAAGGGTTTGGACGACAGTGTTATTTTGATTCAGTCCACAATAAATTCAAGGTATTTCTTTTGAAAATATTTCTTGTTGATTTCAGTTTCATAATTTAATCTTCATATAAAGGACCTATATTTGTATCTTCTCAAGTCTAATTTCCATAGTGAAAGTTTATTCTGTATCATATTTGGTTTTTTATTTAACCAGGAAATGCCTCGTAAAGTATCATATGGAGTTGATTTTGATGAAGAGTATGATGCTTATGATGATTATTGTGATGAGTATGATTATAATCATGGCAATGGCATAGAAGAGCATGACACTGGTAATTAATATGACTTGCAATCTTCTATTGAGTTTATAATAACCATGTGATTGTGTAGTTATACTTTATCTTTATAAATAATGGAACTGGTCATTGAAGGTTAAGTTAAACACTATTAGAAGCTTAATTTCACAGAAAATGATTATGAATCTGTTGTTAAGATATATGGAACTCCACAGTTATTTTTTGAACATGTTTGATCATACTTTTGTTGAAATCCGAATTTTGAACATACTTTTACAATTGAATTATAAGAAATTACCATCAGTTGGAAAATATGTATTAGTCAATATTTACTTTTTGGAAGGAAAAAAAGTTTTGAAGTTTTTTTCTTTATATAATTGGCAGTTGTTCCTACTTTCCAATGAAACAAAGTAGGATTTTATAATTAGTTTTTATATTGTAAATTGCAGAATGTAGGATGCAAAAATTGGTATATTACAGAAATGATCTGTGTATAAATACTTCTAGAAATGTCCATGTATTATTTTTTTTACAGGAATGGTAATTTCTTCTGTTAGACTGTTACTTAAGCACAGTTTATAACACAACATATTTGACTTGGTTATTGGTGTTGATTTCCCTACTTGCTGCCTTGTTGCATTGTTTCAAGTGAGAACCCTCTTATTCATGCTGCAAGACAAGGGCATACCTCCACTGCCAAATACCTGATTGAACATGGTGGTAATCCTAAACTATCAAGTGAATTAGGAGCTATAGCTCTACATCTTGTTGCTGGAATAGGTGAGTTGTTTTTAGTTCTTACTATCTTATTTACTTTATTGAGGAAGTTTTGAATTGAACATATGTAAGTTGATGTTTGTAGTAAATAATGAGTTGATGGAAGCTTTGTTATCCATTGGTGTTGAAATTGATTCCCAAAGTGATGTTGGCACACCTCTTGTTTGGGTTGTTGATCATGGACAACAAGATGCTTTAAAACTTCTTCTAAAACACAAGGCTAATGTAAGACTTCATTGATGGCTTCATAACAATCTTTTTATAGTTGTATTCATTCAACTTCTTTATTGATATGTTTATTGTTTGTGGAGTGATGATGGAAGATGTAAAATTGATGAAAACAAGATTATAGCATTTGTGATTCACATATGAATCACATGTGATTTACATATGAATCACATGTGATTCACATATTAATCATATTTGATTCACATATAAATCACATGT